CCAGGAACCAACAAGACCCCGGATTGAGCCTTCTGTCCCCTGTGCCTCCCTCCTGCCCACACAGCCCAGGCTCCTTCTTTGTGGGCTGCATTTTAGATTGAGAGGCCTCGGGCTGCAGAGGGAGGTGACAGCTAGGACACTTCCACCCCTAGTAAGCCTTGTATGAGGAAGAGGGTTGGGCAACACTGGGGACCTGCCCTCAGCTCACAGCTAACAAGAGCCTTTGGGGAGATTTGCCAGCTCTCTGCTGGCAAAAGCGATTGCACCTGGCTCTCTGAAAGGGCAAGCAGGTAAACTGAGGCACAAGCAGCCTGTATAGTGATACCACTAAGCTGGGTGCCCAGCATCCAATCCCCTAACACCAGAGAAAAAAATAAGTTACCTAGCAAGACAGAGACAGACCAGGAGTTCTAGAAGAGCCACGCTCAGCAGTCCATCAGTGTTTGTGTCAGGCCCAGGCCTGTGGTGGGTTCAAGCAAAAGAAAATGTCTTTTTTGGCGGATCGGGGTCCATGCCCCAGCTCGTCACTGAATTGTGTGGACTTGGGCAAAGGGGACCTAGGTAGGTGCCCACTACTTTGGATGGTGAGGAGGATGAATGACCAGACCGTGAACAAATAGGTCTTGAAACAGTCTCTGGGCAGCACGCAGGCCTGCGGACCATGTTTTGTGATTGCTCTATAGTTCGGTGGTAGATCAAAACCCACCACAAAGAGGAAGCTTTATTCTGTTTAATAAAGGTTCATCTCAAAGATGCCCATCCAAAGCATGGATTTCTGTATTCACAAGACAGAATCGTCGATAGAAAGAAACGATAAGATTGGCGTGAAGACATACACCATGGGGGCGGGGAAGGGCCCTTTGAGAAGCAGCTTCTTTCCTGGTCCTAGGGCCAGCCTGGCTCCTGCCCCTATGGGATTTGCCTGGGGGTGACCAGGGATGTCCTCTCAGAACCTCGGAGCTCTGCTGCACAGTACTGAAGCCACCGGCCACGTGTGGCTATCACTTTCATATACTTATTGTATCCGAGGACCTAAATTTTACATTTTTCTTAAAGAATTTACATTTCAATTTGAAAATCAAATAGGCATAACACAGCTTTATTGTTTTGACAGTACTGGTGTTGTATTGTCCCTTGAGACATAATTCATGTCCTAAACTCACTGCTTTAAAGCAGAGATCGGTAGCCTTGGTATAGCCACCAGGTTGTGAAGTCGCCACCACAGTCTAATTCCAAACCCCAGGAAAGCCCACTGCTGCAGACAGTCACTACACATGCCCTCCCAACCCAAGCTCCTGGAGCCACCAGTCTTGCTCCCATCTCTACAGATTTCCCTAGTCTGCACTGTGAGTTCTAAGCCAGCCTGGTCTACAGGACTAGTTCCAGGACAGCCATGGTTACCTGCCTTAAAAAGACAAAAAAGCAAAACAAACAAACAAAAACCCTAAATAAACAAACAAAAAACAGTTCATAGCCTGGCAGTAGTGGCTTTAATCCCTTGGGAGGCAGAGGCAGGTGGATCCCTGAGATTGAGGCCAACCTGGTCTACAGAATGAATTCCAGGACACCAGGGCTACACAGAGAAATCCTTCTAAAAGAAGAAGAAGAAGAAGAAGAAGAAGAAGAAGAAGAAGAAGAAGAAGAAGAAGAAGAAGAAGAAGAAGAAGAAGAAGAAGAAGAAGAAGAAGAACAACAACAACAACAACAACAACAACAACAACAACAAAAACAACGAGGGGGGAGGGGCAACATCATTACATCATTCAATCTGTGTTTGTTTTGGGTTTTTTTTTTGTTTTGTATTTTGGTTTTTGGGATTTTCAATACAGGGTTTCTCTGTGTAACTGTCCTGGCTGTCCTAGAACTCGCTCTGGTGTCTGTCTTTTTTCCACTTACCTTTCTTTCTTTATTTCCTTTTCTTTTTTTGACACAGGGTCTCATGATGTAGCCCAGGCTATCCTCAAACTCTATGTAGCTGCCTTGAACTTCTGATCTTCTTGTCTCTGCCTCCTGTGCATTGGGCTTACAAGCAAGTGCCATTACTCCTGGTTTTTATGCCGTGCTGGGGAACTGAACCCAGGGCTTCACGAGCCCTAGGCAAGCAGTCCACCAACTGAGCTACACCACCAGCCTGATTAGTGTGTCTCCAAGGTCCTGTTGAACTTTACTCCTATCTGTGCCTGTCTTTTTTTTTTTTTAAGTTTATTTTTACTATGTGTATTGATCGCCATGGGTGTCGGGTCCTCTGGAACTGGAGTTACAGACAGTCCTGAGCTTTCATGTGGGGGCTGGGGATTGAACCCAAGTCCTCTGGAAGAGCAGTCAGTGCTCTTAACCACTGAGTCATCTCTCCAGCCCCATGTGCCTGTCTTAACATCCCAATAGAATGGGCATATCAGCTTTGGTTCATTGACTTATTCATCAACAGATGGACATCTGTGTGTATCCATCCCTGGCTGCTTCCATGTCTTGGTTTCTGTCTCTTGAAGCCACAGTATTCCACTGAGGGGTGTTGCAAAGCAAATTGCAGACTTGAGATGTATACAAAAAAAGAGTATAAAGCACCCAATTCATTATTTATATTCACACACTTTGGAATTCTTTTTTATAAATTGGGTTAAATAAAATTTTGCCCTTTAAAAAAAGAGAGAACACCTAAAAGAAAACAGAGGAAGTAGGGAGCCTTCTTCCTAGAGCCTTAGTTCAGCTTACCCCACCCAAAAGTGGCCCTGAAGTGAGGTGAGGGGCAGGGTCTGGGAGGAGCAGTCATTCTGAGAGTCACTCGGCACCTAGGGGAGCCACAGAGAGGACAAGTTCGGGCAAGAGTGGGTAGATGACTTCCCCCTGGGAGGGGACCCATGGCTGGAATTATCAGACAAAGGGAATAATTGGAGCGGCCGATGACAGTGCCTTCAGCTGGCACCTGGCCTGGGCCGTGCTGCGTGGCTGGCTCCTTGGGTTGAAGCACCCAGAAGCTCCTGGGCTCCCCTCCCAAGGGCAGCTACATGAGAGGCTTTGTTGCCTCCCGACCTGGGGGCTAGTCCCTGAGCTGCTCTGATAGGCCAGGGCTCTGCTGTCACCAACCTGCTGTTCACTGTCCCTGGGTCAGGCGAGGAAACTAGACCAGACAGCCTATTCCCAGCTCCAACATCTCAGGGCTTGGAAAATAGTCCTGAGTCAGAAAGTTCTGGGATTGAGTCCAGGTTTTCTTTTTCCTAGTTGTTTAACATCTTTGGTTACTCCCTACCTCCCAAGGGATGAAAAAAAATCTTCACAGACGTCCAGGGTCCTTTGCCCAGATGGTGTGGCCAGCAGTTCAGAATCAATGTCCCAGTGACAGCAAGGATTTTGATCTGAGATAGTCCATCTCCTCAGACACCTTGTAAACCAGTCCCCAGGATGGACAAGAAGTTTCATAAGTAATCCAGAAATGCTGGGAGGGGCACAGAAGCAGAACTCCGTGACTGCCACATCTGGTGGACTAGGGAAAACCATGTCTAAAGACTGAAGCAGCAAGTCCTGTACAAGAGCCAAAATGGTGACAGTGTAAAACCCAGGCATCCTGTCCCAGAGCTTTCTTGAGTTTTATGTGGATAGACAAGCCGCCCAACCCAGTCTGGGGGCTCGGCTACCCCCCTGCACTTCACCCTCTGCCTGGCAAGGCGGTGCCTCTGCCAAGCCTTGGCTTCCTGGGCACAGACTCTCTGAGTTTCATCCCGGGACAATACTTGGCTGGGAAGGTTTCGGGTTTACTGAGAATCGACTGTGTATGTACTGAAAAAGTCATGTGTAGTTCCTAGGATGGAGCCTGAACACTTCTTGGGTGTCTGCTGTGGATGGGAAGTCTGAGGCATGAGAGATACACAGGAATGAGAGAACCTCTGCCTGCTACCCTTTCCCCGGGGAGCACACAGCTTCTCCTCAGGAGATTCCATTGCTAAAAAAAAATTGTTTTAAAATAAGCACGGGGCTGGAGAAATGGCTTAGCGGTTAAGAGCACTGACTGCTCTTCCAGAAGACCCAGGTTCAATTCCCAGCACCCACATGGCAGCTCACAACTGTCTAAAAATCCAGTTCCAGGGGATCTGACAACTTCACACGAATGAACATAAAATAAATAAATCGTAAAAATAAAAAAACCACAAAATAAGCAATGATGGCAAAACCCAGCGACAATGATAGTGTGGGGTCAGGGCTGCAGGGAAAGGAACTGGGTCCCCTCTTTCTGCAGGGCACTTTAATTTCATGTACAGAAAGTACCCATCCTTAGGGAAGGGGAGGAAGACCAGGGAAGGAGAAGATGAGAGATAGAAACAGAGCAGGTGAATACGGCCAAGGTCCTGCGAACAATAACCAAATACTGGATGTGATGATGCCCATCCAGTGGAGAAACCATAGGTTGCAAATGCTGGCCAGAGCACAGCAGCACCGGGGTCCTCTGGCCACCAGAACTTGCTGCAGTAATAGTTGGCCTCTACTGTCACTTCATACGTTATTTCAAGCCCCATAACAGAGCCATAGTCTCTCTGCTCACTCCTGCAGGGAAGCTTCTGTATAGACAGAACACTTTGGCAGAATTAAGAGCCAGGACAGTGAATTCTTGCTAGGGAAGTCTAGATAGTAAGATTTTTATTTTTAAATTCGTACTAGGAGAAATGAATAGATCTTTGAAGTGGAGAGCAATAAACTTTGGCAGATGAATCCAACCATGTAATCACTACCAGAATCGAGATCTAGACTCTTCCTATACTGCCCAAAGCCCCACCTCTTTGTGCCCCTTTGAGCTAATTGCTATACCCCAAAAGGAACCACAGTTCTGATCTTTGCCTAATGGATTGATTTTGTGTTATCTTTTTCATCTATTTTTTTGACAGAGTCCCACTGTGTAGCCCTGGCTGGTCTGGAACTCATATTGTGGACCAGAGTGGCCTCAAATTCACAGGGATCACCTGTTTCTACCTCCCAAGTGGAGTTAAAGGCATGCACACCACGCCCAGCCCAAATCTTCAGCTTTACGAATTTACATGTCTTCCTGGCACAAGGGACATACTAATCATCTCTGTATTGCCCCAGTTTTAGTAGATGTGCTGTCAAAGCGAGCACTGTTTTTAAAAGAGTCTTGCTGCTCAGGCTGACCTTGAGCTTGCGACCCTCTTGCCTCTACTTCCTGACTGCTGAGATTATGGGTATTTGTTACCATACCTAATCAGTTTTGCCTTTCCTTAGCCTTCATATACATGAACTCATTCTGAACATCCTCTTTCAGTGCCAGGCTCTATCCTTTCACATGGGGGGTTGGGCTGAGCCTGCAAACCATGGATGATTTAAGCAGCATTGGGAGCAGAGGGGAAATCGAGGCAAAGGGGGTAGATTCAGAAAAGGCAGCAAGAGAGGGAGAACAGAAAGTGTCCCTGTGACCAGAGTGAGGAGCACAGGACTACCTCGGGCATTCCTCAGAATGTGTTTGTGGCGTCCCTGAAATGATCTGAGAGAATTCTGAAATAGTTCAAGTACAGAAAAAATGGAGGCATCGCAGAGTGAGGATGGGGTGGTGGTGGTGGTGGTGGTGGTGGGGCTTTAGCTTCATCGGCAGAGCTTCAGCACTGTTCCAGGCATGGGCTTCATCGTGGACACGGTGAGGAGCCTTCCTAGAGCTGACCGCAGAAGATCTGGAGAAGAAACACAGGTGGCCACAGAACACGGCGTAGTGTGGAATCTGGGAAGGGCTTCTCATTGCCCAGGTGGCTGACAGGAAGGGCTTGGGGGGCCGCCTTCTCTTTGCCCAGGTGGCTGACGGGAAGGGCTTGG